TTAATTTCTTAAATTAGAGTGCAGTGAAGGAAACCACTGGCGGTACATTTCTTAAGAGCCACGCTAGCTCAATAAATAAAGGTGATTTAAATAATAAAATGTTAATTCACATGTCAAAGATCTTTTTGTGCACAGCATTTCTTGTGTAGATCTTTCCTTCATTTTTAAGCTCGTCTTGCAGAGGACCATCCATTATTTTTAATTTTACTTTGGTTCTTTCGCGAGCTCTTGAACAGGCAACATGAAGTTGACCGTGTCCAAATGCAGGCTCAGGTAAAAAAATGCCAACACGCTTAAGCGTTTGGCCCTGAGACTTATTGATGGTCATACCAAAAGCAAGTTTTACAGGAAATTGTCTACGTCTCAATTGAAACGGCATCCCTGTGCCGTGGCAACTTCACCCCATGGGCTAGTAGAGTTACGCAAGCAACTAATAAACTATCGGTGACAAACAGACACTTATGCCGCATATATATATGGAGTTAAGTAAAATTTTCTCTTCCGAAACGGCTGGCTCCCGGGCTTAGCGAAGCACACCGTTGGATTCTGCAGGTCCGTGGCACGCCATTTTGACCATTCGCGTCTTCTTGGGACTCTAATTAGCCGAGATATTAATTAAAAACTATATTTCCCATACGTTTTCCCTGCAGTTTTACTTTCTTTCTTGGGTTTTCACCATTAGATGGATTTGGCTACGTGCCAAATTCTTTTTTCTCGAATATCTACTGAATGGCGCCGAGTTGAAATTCGAGACGCGTATCCTCGAATTCCAAAAAATTCTCCGAATCCATCGATACCGTTCTCATCTTCGTACGACTTTAATCAGTCGAGATATTAATTAAGAACTGCGGAAACCTTAATTCCCGCGCTCATTTTTCCGAGTGGCAATAATAAACTATCGGTGACACACACACTTTAGCCGCTTTATATATATAAAGACTATACTTCCTTTCTTGCGTTATGTTTGCCGCAATTATTTTTGGCACCACTGGCATCAACAATAGTTTGGCGATTTTTACGGTTCTCAGAATGGAATAGTACCGACATTTCTAACTGCAACTCTTCATAAAAACCTATTATACCTTTCTTGACATTTATGAAAATATTATTTAGATTACTAAATCTCCAAAATCTTGCATATTCTTAAAAGCATATTACATACCCCAAATTTTACGCAAAAGAAAAATCAATTTTATGCTTAGTTCGCAGATTCTTTTGGCTTTCGTTTGGAATTTTCTGGCAGTTTAAATGAACTGAATTTCCAGATTATTTTTAGTCATTAGTTTCGATTTTAATTTCTTGATAAATTTAAAGATGATACATTTATGTGCAATATAGATGATGATATTGCGTTTTGTTTATGATATCTGTTTTATCTACCGTAAAGTTTATTTAGAATGTAAAGTTATTGAAATGGGATTCAGGAGTGTATCTATGTATGTATGCAACTACGTGTTCATGTTTACATGCAGATATGTATGTGTGTGTATATTCACATATACATACGCACTTGTATACGAACTTACATTTCTGATTTCGGTGCCAATAAACCAAAAATACCAAATTTGTGTAGTTGCTTCGAAAATGCTATTTAGAAGTTTCCTGATCATTGATACTTAAATTACAGTTATTGTTTTGTTTCGGTTTTCGCACAGCAGGATTTTTATTATACATCCATACATGCTTACAGGTACGTAATATGGGAACGATACTGAAAGAAATATAAACAACAAAGAAATTACTTGCTAACAGTCTGTTTAATACTCTGGCCGTCTCAACTAAATTCATGCAATTTCACCCGCAAAGCAGCTATGCAAGGTTTTACTCATTATATAATATATTATATATATATATATATATATATCTGCACACTACCTACCAACCACTTGGTTAAAAGAAAAATAAGATTTTTGCTGGAACAACAGCAATAACAAAATTTTATTTATTTATTTTTCGATATGTAAAAAATCAAATTAATACAATTAGTCAATCCACAAATTAATTGATAGAATCTAACACCAATCAATTAAAAAACTATAATAGAATGAATAAAATGGTTTAAAATATTATTACTATTAAGAAATTTAACATAATTTTATTTATTTTTCGATCTCTAGAGAATCAAGTTAATACAATTAAGAAAGGAAAGTTTTTTTATGAGATTACGGCAAAGCCTCGAAGGTCATCTGCCTGAGGGAAGGGATGCCTTCGTGAAAGACTTTCTAAGGGAAACTGACTCGGATACGTTACACTTGGGAAAACCAAGAAAATGCCCATGCAACCAGCCCATTCGCAGAATTTCAACATCGGACTGAACTACCAGTGTTCAGCGCTTTTTACTGCTCGGCTGCTGGTGAGCCGGGGGAAGAGGGAATGGAAATGAGAGAAACAAACGGTAGAATTTTAACGATACGGAAGCCGTTATAGCCACATTACCTAGGTAAAATTCAAAAAATGCTTGATTCCGCAGAGCCAACTAGTTAATCTTCATATTAGTTAGGTAATGCACATTAACGATTTTCGAGTAATATACGTATGTGGATCCCTTTATCAACATTTAGAATGCTAACTTCATTTATTTATAAATAAATAAATTATTAATCAATATAAAATCAATACATATATACATTACCTTTTTAAGAAGAATTTACAAACATTAGTATCTATTTTTATTTTTCAAATGAATTATTATTATTAATTAAATATTAAAATGTATGTGTTTTTTTTTTTAAAAAATAGTATCCTTAGAAGTTTGCAATTTTAAGTAGAATTTTATAATAATGGAAATATTGATTAAAACTGTCAATTCCTATGTTCTTCCTAAAATTCTAGTGCTACTGCTATTACGTGCAGTTAAAATTATATTCAATAAATGCTCATATATACTGGAATACTCACTGTTTTGAATTGACATTTCAGCTTAATGTTTCCCGTAAATGTTGTCACATTTAAGACACAATAACACGCGGAATAAATACTAATTCAGAAGTCAAACAACAAAAATCAGCGTTATATTTTCAAAATTTTCACAGGACGAGTTTCGATGCTTTTGCCGAACCACCATCCTCAGCTGCAAAACTGCAAATGAACAAGATAGGAAATAATGATTAGGTAAGATAAGAAAGCCTGGACAAGAATAAGCAAGTGGCGCCATTTGTTGGTGAAACCAGAACTAAAACATAATTTCTTTAAAGGCCGAAGGCAAAGATGGATTGGAATTAGGATCGTTAACTAGAACAGAAATAATTTTTTGAATGTGAAATACCTCTAGAATATCCAGTTCTCCAATGGAAGATGTTTTTTGAATAATTTTGGCAGCAGAACATTGAAAGTGGGATTTTCGGACCAACAATGTTGAGCAACAGAAGACTTCTGTGTTTCCTTTTTTCTAACATATGCCTCATATTACTTGACGCGAAACTTTAAGGCTCTCCTAGTTTGGCCAATGTAAATCAAACCACACTGGCAATGAATCCTATAAATACCCCAAGAATTCATATCCGGAATGGGGTCCTTGAGTATGGAACTCGGAATTTTATTGATGAGAAAATAAACAACCCAAAAGTTAAATTTCTGCAAAATATGTGCAACTTTATAGCTAATTGATGGAAAGAAGGAAATGACAACAGAATTTTTATAATCTAAAATAATAAAATGGCAGAAAATAAATAAAAAAAATTTTGAAAATATAACGCTGATTTTTGTTGTTTGACTTCCGATTTAGTTGTAACATTTGCTGTTAAGTTCAGTTTAGCGAGATTTTAACATCTGCATCTTATAAGCGAAACATACGCGGAAATAAATTTCAAATATCTAAATGAAAACATTTGACTTTTCATCTTCGTTAACACATGTGTTATTTTTACAAATGCGCATACTGCACATAGCATGTAAAATATTTCATAAAATTTAAAGATTATATTCGGTTTACGTATCATCGCAACCACCTTAGTAAAAATTGCCAAAGTTTCAGTATACAACCAAATTCTGGTAACCACGCGCATAACAATTATTTTGGCAACCAAGTTCAAGACAAATATTCAGTTTCCAAAGTCGTCATTTTCCTATGTGTTCTTTTTGTAGTATTCCAAGTTCGGCGTTTTTTATAGATAATTTATTACTCTTTGTCTTAAACACGATCTTAAAATTTGTGCTTATAGGGTTTTCCTGTAATAGAAAAGGACAGGTGAAATTTCTGCAGGAATGTATTATTTTGCCGGGAAATCGCTATAGGAACAGTGCTTCGAATTGTTTTTCGGAGCGATTCCTACGAAAAATTTCTACCTCAAAGAAAAACTCGTTTGTAACTAGGTTTACTGATTGTTTTTTGAAATACATATATAGTTGAAACCTAGAGTATATATATAATAATATGTGTGTATTAACATATAATGTTTTAACAGTAACTGTAATTGTTCTCTTGCTCCCATAAAATTCGCCGAACTGCACCAAGGTGATTGTGATAACACGTACCTTATTTTCTATGTTTTATGACGCAAGGTAAACACACATCCTTTTCCATTCCTTAATCATTTTGGTTTTCTCCGCCTAAATTTACCCATGACTGTGTGAGTTCAGGCATGTTGTTTAAATGCCATTATTACAGAACATTTCTTCAAAGTATTGCTCTAGAAACTCCACAATGATATCTAAAATGCAAATTTTGGTTGTATAGGTTCTTTTTTTTATTGTTGTCATGAGTTTTCTAAATTTACTTATATTTGCTTTCTTACAGAAGCGTTAACAGCTGTTTGCTGAAATTTAAAATTTAAATAAACATCTAACGCGAACTTCTGCTTCTACTTCTTACAGTTTTCCAGTAGTTTCCAGCAGCCTCTTACGGGACGATTGTTACAAAACTTCGTTATAATAAACATGTTTTTCACTTCTCGGAATAAGAATGAATGAAAGACTGACGATGCGTTTTTATTTCCTTTGCCAAATATAATTTCTGCCATTTATCTGCTTGTTTACCGACAGTTTTTCTTTCCTGCATTTAGGTACCTGCAGAAGGAGCTTATCTCTATGATGCCGTTTACGTGTATGCCCGAGCCCTAAATGAATGCTTGTTGCATGGTGAAGATCCTTTTGATGGTCGACAGATGATGAAATATATTACTGGAAGAACATATTTTAGTAAGTATATAATTGTAAAAGGGATTATTTGCTTAGAGAATTTATTTAACACTTTTTTTTGGGGGGGGGTGTAGGTGTTTTTTTTTTTTTTTTTTTTTTTTTTTTTTTTTTGTGTGTGTGTGTGTGTGTGTCTGTGTGTGCATGTGTGTGTGTGTTTGTGTGTATAAAAATAAAAATTATAAATCTGTTATTAACAGTATCATTTTTAGAATTACAGTACAGTTCGTAGATTTATTTTGGATAAAACGGTTTTTACTTGTTTTCCTCTATACTATTATATATATTTCTACTTATTATCCTATCCATTTTCGTATGTCTTCTTCTTATAATTATATGCGATGGAAATATGAGATGTAATCAATTTCTTAAAAGACTATCAGAGGCCAGACGGTAAATTCACTGAACGAGCCAATTTCAAATCCCGTTTAAGGGGCTGACTGCATAGAAGCTGTCGTGATTTTTACGGTTTATTGCATTACACGGTTGTTATTTCCACCCAGAAATCTTTCAGAGTGGGAGTCGCTGTTTCATATTCTCTTCCAAAGAAACTACTCCCTAATCCCACTGTATTTCATTTCTTTAATAGATGTAAGTCAACTGACGTTAATGAACTTGAGCATTGGGAAAAGCATAACTTTATTTGTCTGATGACCTTGGTAAATTCGAGGCAATCTTTCTTAAAATATCCTCCACGAAGGCATCCTTTCATTTCGGCTGTTATTCTTCTCGTGCTTTAATCTAAGTAATTACTTACAGCAATCTGAATGATCACTAGCGGCCAAGTGGTAAAGTCGCTGAAAACTGATGGTTCAACCCAGAAGTCAAACGCCGTCCAATGTACTTGCTGCGTTGGATCTTTAATACATTTTTATATGTGTACTTTGAACACGAGCTAGTGTCTCTAAAAATGTCCTCCATGAAGGTAACTGTTCAATCTGATAGAATGTCATCAAGTTCTCTGCCATAATTTAAATAATCCTGTTTTGTTTTAAATATAATCTGCATTATATTTTACTGTTTTATTGTAAAATTTACTGTTTTATTGGGCTTACGCTTGTTTATTTCAAATATTTTGGATGTGTATTTCGGAATGCCGATATTTTGGACGGATCGTTATCGTTTTACACTATCTAGTTTATACACACCGGGGTCGTATACACTGGCTTAGTAGTTTTTGCTCGGGGCAGAAAGCCCGATTCCTACTATCAGAAGAGGCAACCTGTGCTATCCCTTCGGCCACTCGTGTGGGGCTACGATAACTGGTCCCTGATCGATTCCGCTTCCTGCGTTTCGCGTTGAGCTCTGCTAGCCCACGACTACTGCCTAAAAATGAGTGAATCAAATGTGTAGGTCGTTTAGTACGCTCCTTAAGTAACACACCGAAACCTTATACATTTATTGTATGTTTAATAATTAGTAATTTACTATAAGCTTATACATTTATTATTAAGCTTAATAATCTGAAGATTATCTTAAACATCTGCGGGCTTGTTTAGATACTTTCTCCTCCCCAAGTGTAAATCTTCAGTTATCTTATTTTTGTTTACAAAATATTCGCATTAAATAATAATTCGAAGATGGAGAAAAAATGAATATTTCGAGACTGCGTCTAAAAGAATTCTTCAGAAATATTTATCTTAATTACTAAATATGCTTGCTACGGAAGACTTTGAAAAACAAAAGGGAGCGGAAGAGGTTTTGGTTTATTTAATTACAGCAAAGCACACGAGGGCTATCTGCCTAAGGGAAGGGATGCCTTCGTTTAGGACTTTTTAAGGGAAACTGGCTCGTATACACGTTACACATGGGGAAAACCACGAAAACGCCCATGCAACCTCGGTCCGAACTACCAGTGTTCAGCGACGTTACCGCTCGGTTGTGGGCGGGAGCGAAAGAGAAAAACGTTCTACAAGAAACAAAATCCCTTCTTCTAACTGCATGAATTTCTTATTTATAAACAAATGGAGCATTGAATGAAAGGCTGGCTCTTGACAACTTCACTACGGAGGATCACTCAGCAAAAATCTACTATAGTTTGGATAAATTATTTAAAAATAATTTATATAATTACTGATAGTTACTTATTTTATCACAAAATGATAGAAATGTGTCACGTATGGTGCATCTCAGCAGCCATGTGTGACCTTAAAGTGTTGGACATAATTTATTATTAGTACTGTCCAAAAGTTTCCTATTTTTATTTCTGATACTAACTCTCGTGTAGCTTTTACTTTTTTTCCTTTTATAACTTCTATGCGGATAATCCGAGGCAAGAATATATGTGATTTTTGTCAATCCCCTCGTCTTATAAGCGCAAAATTTAACACTCCCTGTGGTGTACCCTAGACAGGCTGTTCATGAGACGGTTAAACTGCGAATGTGCTCGGCCATTGCTGACGAATATTTAAATTAGCAAGTGTCGAGCCACTGCATACAAAATAACAGCATTTAAAAAAATAATTACGCTTTGGAAAACCAGAAACCTCATGTTACTAACATTATCAGTTGCCGAGGTTCAGTCCCACGATGAACTACCCTAGCTTCGAAGTTTTAGCCAGTAGGCCATTGATGTTAATTACTGATTAAATAGCATACATAACTTATTAGGTCTTATCGGGTATTTATCATTATACACACGAGGAAGAATTTTAAAATTCTAACTATCGTTTTAAAAATGAGGTAGAAGATTTATTTATGGAATGCTAAGGTAATCGTAAGAACCGACAAGGTCGTGATTCTAAATTTAGCATTTATATTAATTAATTTACAGTTGCGGGTTTTTATAGTGTATTTAATTTACAGATAAATACTGCTGCCTATCAGTTTTGAGTTAGGAAATGTGTGACTACGTTAAGATAAGGCACTGAAATAGTTTAGCGTGTTCTGTGCTCTAATAATATGAAAAATTCAGGTAGAATTAGAGCTTTCAATAACCTAACTTCATCTTGAAACTCTAAACTTTAATTACATTCACTGTAGAACATAAATCACTTATTTCTTTTCGAACTTTCTTTTATTCCCTTCTCAGTTTGTTCTTTTCGCATCTAGTAAAGTTTCATAAATAAAATAGGAATGTTTGCGTATCAGAAGAGAAGATGTTTCTGTTCACGTTTCAGAAAGAGGAAAATAGTCTCTAAAGAGCCTGAATTGCATTTGTTCAGAACCTTATCTTAAAAGCGTATACATTCCATTCCTTTTCAAGTTGCAACTGTCTCAGCCTCGCTGCTCTGAAGTATCAGAGTTTTTTATTCATTATTGAATTTTTTCTACATCGAATTTTCGCGGCCTTTTGCGGAACTTCGAAAGCTATACAAAAATCCTATTTTCGGATTCTAAAACAGGGTTAAAAAAAGAAGCATTTTACTCTCAAGTTCTTATAAGGGACACTTTTGTAATTTTATTAACCCCTTAACTGCCGCGGAAAACGTACAAGATTCATTTCCCAGTGCCACGGTTTTTCACACAGGCGCGAGCAGTTATGCGTTGTATTAGGGGGTAAATAAGTGCAAGTTTTACTTTCTAAAAACGGTTTACTTTCACAAAATAATAGAATAAAAGAAAAAATGAATGCACAAAATTTAATGTTTTGAGTAAAAGTATATAAAAGGATATAAGTATTAAAAGTAATAAAAATGATGTTTTTATAATAAAAAAAGATCCCTAAAATGGAGTTTCGATCAATTCATTTTTAGACCAGTAAAGTGTAATATCAGGTTTCAGTGTTATACCTTTGGGAAATCAAGTATGCCTAAAAAAACATATTTCTTCTGAACTGGTTGAATGCCACCATTTTGTTCTTGATTTTTTGTTTGCAAGGTGTTAGTTCATATATTCGTCTACAAAACGGTTAGTTTCAGTAACAGTATGAAGCACGAGCAGTTCAAAAAATAATTCAAAAAAGATAAATGGGTTTGAAACATCCGTTATATCTTTCTTTATTCCTGGAACCTACTACAAAAAGTAAACGAAAATGGAGGACACAGGTAAAAAAAAAAAAAAAAAAAAAAAAAAAAAATCGCATATTTTGTCAAGGTCATTGTGGTGTTGCATTCCAAAGCTTTGCGAAAAATTTTAGGTGTAGCAGCGCAAAGCAAATGATAGCAGTTTGGAAGGACGTATATATACGCCTTGGGCAGTTAACGTATCGGCTGAGCAAGGCGTATATATACGCCCGCGGCAGTTAAGGGGTTAAAGAACTTAATTTTAAAAAACCTATTAACTGCATATTCTGTAATAAAAGACTGAAATACGTCAAACTTTATTTTACGATGACATTCAGACAATAATACTTGCCCAAAATTTAGTTATGACAACAACTAAAGATGCTATCAAACTAACAAAAAGTGATTCAGTTAGAAACGAAACACAGCGATGCATAATTTTAAATTGAGTTAATTTGGCGCATATTTAGCAATAAAAGGTTGTTGTTTTTTATGTTTTTATGGAGACGCAAAAAAGGTTGTATGTGAAATTTTCCGTTTAACCAAGATGTTAAATGATCGGTAATCATATTACCGTCAACTAATAAACCTCATTTCATGTTTAGAACAGATTCTGCTCTTAAGTTTAATTTTGCTGACACCTTTGAAAAGTTTTTAAGTTATGTACAACAGCAAAACTTTCTATTAACGATCTTCGATTTTTTAATTCTTAAAAGTGCAAAACTTTATTTAGGGATATATTATTCTCAAAGCAATCAGATTTTTGTAAACTTGTCATAACATACTTGAAAACATTTATCCATTGTGTGAACAAAATTCATAATAATACGTTTGAGCAAATAATGAATTATGAATTTACAATATTACGATAATAAGTTATGAATTCATAATATGATGATGAATTATGAATTCATAATATTATGCAAATAATTAATTCATAATATTATGACTATTCTTATGAAAGTTCGCAATAATAAGGCAAAATAAATTTAATCGTCGCAGCGTGAAGAAGTGGATAAATTTTTTATATATAAATAGATACACAACTCATTATTTTAA